AGCTCTTACCACAAGGTAATACTTCTAAACTGTACTGCTCCTGTCAGCATTATATTTCATTTTTATTTTTATTGCTGTCACACATTTATTTAAAAAAATACTGGGTACTGAGTCATCAAAACTTGCCTCTAAGCTACAGGTTAAACCATATCAGCAACAACTACAATTTTTTTATTCTACAGGAGTAAAAACGAATAGATATCCCATTTGTTTATATTATTTCTGTTAAAGTGCACTAATTTATTCTGGCCAGTTATATGAAATTTCATATTTCCCATGTTGTTCAAAATTTCTGTTCTTTTAAGTCCTTCTGGAAGTACTTCAGTTTTTAGTGAGGTCCTTAATAAGGACCTAATTAGAACTTAATGAAAGACAACTCAGAGAAAATGCTTTATCCCTCAGCCTCTGTAGGTAAGATATCATATCACTTTTCATCACAATACAGATCTGCCTAATGTTTTCCTAGTTTCCTTATACACATACACACACACACACACGATAGAAGTTTAAAAATTAGTATTCTTACTTGTCACTGGCCACGTCTACACAAGGCACTTACTGCGCAGTAGCCTAATAATACTGTGCATTAGCGCACCCATCAAAAACCGTACTAATACACTACTGTGCAGTGTTATTAGGTTACAGTATAGTAAACACCACAAAAAACAGTGTGCCAGCACTACTGCGCAGCAGCCAAAGCTACTGTGCATTTAGTTAGTACTTCATTAAGAAAGTACTAAACTAAATGTCCAGTAACTACTGCACATCAATAAATATGTAGGTGTGCACAGTGCGATTTCTACATTTCCATTTTACCAGCTTGAAACTTATTCAAATATGCAGCAAAACGGATATCACTAGAGGTAAGAATAAAACAACTGGCCCTGTTTTTCCAGTTCTCTCTTTAGGTTCAACCAGTATCACAAAAAGGCTATGGCAGCTGAAACATTAGTAAATATTTTACATTATATTAAATTATTAAACAACATATACAGAACAGGTTTTGGCAGACTTACCTCCTTACCAAAGGCATAAATTGAGCCACTAAGTGATGCTGCTAAAAACAAGTCAGATGCAGCTTTCGAGGTGGCAGTCACTTAAAACAAGGTGTTGGTAGTCAAATCAGCGAAAAGGATGATAGGATTTTTAAAGTCAAATATCTTACAAAATGGTAGGGATAAAACAAACTTACTGGTTATTGGAAAGCTGTAGTGGAAATAATTCATTTCTACCCTCCTTTCACTTTAAGATACCTGAACTTAAAAATACAGACCATGTACCAGGCAAGGAAGGAGGCTTTTTTTTTTTTTTTTTTTTTTTAAAGGATACACAGATAAACCACACTACCCACTTTGTCAGCCAATGGTGAGAACATTTTATATTTAGTGAACCAGAGAAGACGTCACTTGTCAGCAACAGTCTGGCATTCAGGAAAGCAAGAAAGCTCTAAGTGGAGTTGGAAACACCAAAACAAAATCAGGAACAAACCAACTGAATGAACTGTATTAGTTCACCGATTGTACACAAAACTGTCACAAGAAACACTGTCTTCAAAGGCTAAATACAGGCAACAGGCCTACAATTACAGAGGAGACTCAAGAGAAAACTAGAAAAGTATTGCAAGCATATGAAATATATTAGCAGCTTCACTTTCATCTTCTAACAAGCCAACCCCTTACACCAACCTTCTTCTGGAAAAAAAAAACAAACTTTAAAAGTTCAAAAGAAAGCACCAATTTGTACCAATGTAATGACATACAATCCTCAATGCAGACATAACTGCTACACAAGAAAGGACTTGCAAAATGGTAGCTGTACAAGCAGTGTCCAGATTAAAATTTTTTTTATGAGTATAAGTATTTGGATGTAGCTACCCAAACAAATACCATTAAAGCCTGGCATACAGCCAAATTTGCTGTACCAATTCAAGTACATACCAATTGTATACTTTAGTTTGACTTAACTTGCCCTGGGGGGAAAAAAGCCATTCCTATTTAAACCTTCATAGATACTCACATATGGCTGCACCTCTGCCTAAAAAAGGGCAACATCACAGCTTCTGTTAATTTGGGATCACTATGTGTAGACTAACCCACAGAACCCAAAAATTCTCCATCACACTCGCTGAGTTGTAACAAGTAAAATCGTTCAGTTCTACACGATAAAATGTATGCTTAACAACCTAGTTTTATCATAAAGTCATTACTGAAATGAGTGGTAGTGTTTTAGTATGTTTAAAATTCCGATTGAATATACACATGCTTCTTTGCATGAGAAAATCCCTCTTGTTTACATTTTCTATTTACCATTATCTAAGACTGGTCACTACAGGCCCAGAAATTTTTCATAAACACATATATAAATCCCTTGTTACTAATCACATATCTAAATCTCTTTTTACTAACCACACAGATGTCAAAAGAGCATCAAATTTCGCCTCCTTTATTTCTATGTCATATAGTATACACGGGGTTCAATGCCTTGATGTAGAATGACAAAAGCAAAGTTCAGATACAGGGGCATAATTATTCAATTATGTTACAGAAAACAATACTGTACCTTTTAATAGTCCTCTGTAAGCAGAACTTGTCAATTCATGCGGAAGGAGGGAAAAACCCAATCACGTACAATGGAACTACTGCATAAGCCCAGGGCAATAGCATACATGCTGCATACACTTAGAAATTTATTAAGACAGAAAAATTCTTCCCCCCACACTTTGTGCTACATTTTAGGTTTTCCCCACCTCCCTGCATTACAAAAATAATTTATTTCTGAGATGTTTAGTAATAATAGCATTATACCTGTGCTTGTAAACACTTCCGGATAATCTCCCAACTTTGACATTTTCATAGCTGAAACACGTTAGCAGTATTTCTTAAGGAATTAAATATAAAAGTATTACAAACTGACACCAGAATTGTGTGTTTATAAAAAAGAAAAAAAAAAACCTACATTAAAAAAAAAAAAATCATCACAAAACTTAACCAGGGATTTTACAACTATAACTCAGGACCTTTCACAAAAACATGTTGGGGCTACAAAGAAGCAAAATGACACTTGATAACATGGGAGGGAGGGGAGCTTCTTTATTCACCAGAGGCAATTTGCAAGATACTAATGCCACTATGCTTTACTAAACTACAACAGTGCAACTTCACAGGAAATAATTGTTTCTAACTAAAAATAATGTCTACCTGAGCCAAAAGTGATGAAATCTTTCAATGTTGAAAGCTTTTTGGTCTGGTTAATGTTTTTATACTTTATTAAGTGCCTAACTTCACAACCCCTGACAAGGGAGCAGTTCTATTTAAAAGATTTTATGAGCAAAAGGTAACTCATTACTAAGGAATTTCAGGAATAAACTCTTATTGAACTCAAGAGATTCTTAAACAGAGCTGCATTACCTACACCAGAAATTCTTACACAAAGTACAACATTTTAACATTAAGTTTTTCTTAAGCTGAAAATAAATTCGGAAAGCATTACTAAAATTGTGTTGTTTGTTAGGCTCAGAACAACTGAAACCGAACTTACCTTAAATGAAAAATATTTACCATTACTGGTACAAATTTTATTTCTAAACACCAACATTTTTCTCTAGCAAATGATTATATTTCTACATTCAAAGGAAGTATGAATCATGGCTTTTAAGGTTCTCCTGCATTAGCTTTGTATTGTATATAAAAATATACTTATCTATTCCATAAATGAATTCAAGTCCTTTTGCTTTCGGCCAACTGGCCTTTAAAAAAAAAACAAACTTAATTTTTTTCAGAATGGAAAGGTACAACTTCTTGAAGGACTGATCAATAACTATACACCTTCAAAACATGGCACAATTTTCTGACAGGTTTCTGCTTTAGAACTTTTAACATGAAACTGTTTCATCAATAGACTCTCTCATCACATGTCAAAAGAGGAGGGTTTTTTCCCCCCCCAACTACCTCATTTTACTTGTTAAGACTTTCTTACGTTAAGAGATGACAGTGGGAAGGTTTTAGTGGCTCCATGTCAACTTCAATTACAAAGACCTCAGTCCATTTCCATATACTGCAGAACCTCCGCTATATATAAAATGGCAGAATGCTTCATTGCATCTGCATTTAAAAGGTAAATTCCTTATTGTACTACACCAAGATTCAGATACTAATTGGAGATATGTAACAGCAAGAGTTGAACTTAATCTCCTTAAACTACTATGTCTTTGAGCCTCTAAAAAAAAGTAAAAGTAAATAAAAAGTTATGCTTAGAAAAAAGAAAAGAAAAAAAAAAGAGTGCTTCTATTTTTAAATAAAGCCTAGCCTATTTATCACTTTAGCTTAAACCATCTCTTCCTTGTGATACAACTTTACTATAGACACATTGCACCTGCCAGCCTAGGTTATATACTTTAATTCTTTCATTTATAAAATTCATTCTTCCAAGTTCTAAAGTGAATCTGGGAAGAGATAAGACATCTGACAGCAACTATACCACACACACCTGACATGGAATATTATGAATTTCTGAATTAAAACAGAAATATTACCTCCCCTGCCCATCCTGGAAACAAAATACTTATTTCTGTCCTGGTAGAATAGACTATAAGAAACCACATCACCATTAAGAAATGCCACTCAACTAAATACATACATACAGTACTATATTGAACGAAACTGAAAAACTTAAACTAATTTAGAAATTACCACTATAATGCTGCAGATTTTAGCTTAGAATCTTCATCAAAATTCAAGTATTTTTCTTTAGGGAGACTGGTTGTGGGATAGTGCACATAGTACATAAGGCTCAATCCTGAAATCAGTAACCCCTACTAATTTCAATATTAATTGCATAGATTTATGCTGTAAGGATTGTGCTCTCTTTTCATTGATAAATTTGCAGGGTTTTTTTTCTTTTATTTTCCAAGACTATTTCATTTTATAATAAAAATAACCATATCTTTTAGGAAACCATTTGCCACTCTCCCAAAGCCAAGATTTTAAAGAGATGTTTCAAAATAAATGCAGGTTATAAAATTTATTTGTGTGAGCATTCAAACATACTGCGATGGAAAATATGGTATTTAGATTCCACTACAAGCTCCACAAGTATATACTAAAGTTGAACAATACATATGGTTCAATTTGCATTGGCACAATTTAAAACTGAAAATATAAAAGCATTCATCCTGTAGGAAAAATAAAAACAATAATTTAAAGCTTCATGAGAAAAGAGGTGCTAAATTTAAAACAATCTAAAGTAGTACCATAGTCAGGACATCACCTTTAGACTTGTTAGGACAGACAGGAAGAAATTTTGCATCTGCTGAGGTACAGATAGAAGATTTCATAATACGGCATTAATGATCTTTCAATGGCAAATCCTTCAAAATACAAAATCAACCAAAATCACTTATCACATAATTCAAAATGTACATGTAATAAAGGCAAGGCGATAATCAGTTATGGCCTGTCAAATATTTACCCCACTAGCATTATCTACAGAAGCATTTGGCCATTTTGTACACAGTGATTCCTTATGCACGTTGAAAGGGTTTCAGTAAAAAAGCAACACTATATACAAATCTGTACACAAATCCAACAGAGCATTTTTCTATCTCCCAGAGGAGTTCACTTAAAGCAAGATACCTGAGATTTCTCAATATCTTCAGTTTCCTTATCACAAACCTTAATATACATTTCAGATTTTACAAAAAAAAAAGACCTCCCTGGAGTATGTGCATTATATAATTAAAAAACTATAGCTTTAAGGAGCTGAAAAGCAACACTATCTATCTGAGAGACTTTTTGTTGTTGCACATTCAAGAAGGTCCATTCACTGAAGAACACTCCACTAACTTGGGTAGGTCAAAATTAGAGAGCACTTCTTCAATGCAGACATGACAGGGTCACTGTTGTCTTAGAAAAACTCAAAAAACCCCAAATTTCAGTGGGATGAACTGCTTCCTCCAGTTAGTGAGTACCTAGAGAAGACGACAAAAAGTATTATTTGTCACTTTCGAAATCTTGCTAAATAACAGCCCACTAAAAATTTGCAGCATTTTTCTCTCTTTAAGTGTGTTTGTGTCGAGCAATATTCCTTTAAAAAAAAAAACAACTCGCACCATTAGCCTGAGACAAACATGAATATAATACAAATATAGCTCTAAAACTGCACCTGTTATTCAGAAACATATCAATAGCCCCAAAGCTCAGCATCTTGATAGGTAAATAATCAAAATGAAACTTGAGTGTTGCAGGCAAGTTTTATTTTTCCTTTAAATACCCTATTTGGCAGTGTATTCTCTCTACCACTTGAAGGTGTTCTGGGGCAGGAAACTTCCTAGCCTAGACAAGGGTTTTAGGGGACAGAGGGGATGAACAGTTTAAACACAGTAAGCTTTCACTAAATTCTAAAACGAGGGTGCTCATCCCCGAGTGCCATGTCATCTGGCCCTTGGCGTTCCCCACAGGTCCAAAAATTTTGGGGCAAGGAAGTGGTGCCGCTGCTCCCAGGCTGCTAAATTTCTGGGCCCTGCATGATAGATTGAGCATGTAGGGCAGCACTGGGCACCAGGGTCCTGATCCCAGAAGGCAAGAGCAGTGTGGGGCACTAGGCACATGAGGGTCAGCTGAGGCTGCACAGGGCCCTATCCAGGCATGCAGGACTGAACAGACATCACGGGGCCTGATGCTGACACATGGGGCTCAATCTGGCCCACAGGGCCAAAAGTTTAAGCACCACTGCTCTAAGAATATTTAATATCAGAATCCAGAGGTGTTGGGATTTGTTTTGGTTTTTTCTTAATGCTCCTCAGTCAAACAGGTTAGAAGTTTTCCTACAAGGAAGAAGAACTGAATTTATTTAGTTTAGAAAAATGAAGACCGAGAACAGGATATAGAGGTCTCACAGTATACAAAAGCCTGTTACAAAGTGGACTACAATTGATTGTTCTCTATGCGCACTTAGAAGGACAAGGAAATTAACTTAATATGCAGCAAGGAAGATTTAGGTGACATATAGGGAAAAAACTTTCTACCCCCAAAAAAGAAAAAATCATTAAGCACTTAAGTTTGTGCAACCTACTTCACTGAGGGTTTTTCAGAAGTGGTTAAAAACCTCTCTCAGTGATAGTCTGGGGGTGCATCTACACATGAAATTAATTGCATGCAATAGACTCTGGTGCACATCAGAGTTCATTGCTCCTGGGCACAGCGTATACACATGCCCATCAGCCTGTCAGCCTGCTGCTCCACCCCAGCTCAATGCACTTTGGAGGGGCTGGCTGGGGCACAAGGGTGTCCCACACACTAGCACACGTGCTCCAGCCAGCCCCAGTCACTGTCTACATGTGCACTGCGGTGGAGAAAACTCTGCTGCAGAACAGTACTTGCATTGGGCAGTACTATCCTACAGTGGAATCAATTAGTTTACTCTGGCCTAATAGCACCCCTCATGTAGACACGATGCTTTACTGTTGAGCTAACTAGGCAACTCTGCAGTAACCATCTCATGTAGATGTACCCTGCTTATACTTACTCTGCCCTGGCAGAAGGGAATGGATACTTAACATCCTTGTTACCCCCACACTTCTGTGACCTCTATGATCGAGTGTCCCATCTTTTAAACGGCAAGAGCTACTGGGATCTGCTAGTGTCATTAACACTTGTAGGAAAAAAAAACATGCAACCTTTCAGGGCATCCCCCTTGATTAAAGGGTTTGATTATTTTATGCTGAAAGCATAAATAAGTATGCACAAATCCGCACCTTCCTTCCACCTTCATTGCTCTTCTTGAGAGGAATGTCTGATATTAGCTAAAACTGACATGAATGTGCTAAAAAAAGCCTATTAACAGAAACATTTTTGTGGAGATTTATAAAGCTGAACACAATTCATAAAACATTTTGATCAACTCCTCAGGTACAATTTTTAATGTCCAAAGAGTACGAGTAACAGTCTACTCTACTAGAACACTAAATTAAATTAAAATAAGATACTGATAAGACTTTTCAACTGTCATTATTCCAGGGTGGGGGGCGGGTAACTTCATCTTTTAGAAAAGCTAATTTAACTAAAAATTAATTGCATTAATTATCATTTTGATAACTGAGGAATACTGTGTGTTCCCAAAACTTATTTTGTGCCATTACATTTACATAGCAATTTTGAGATCTATATAAATACATTTCTTCATCCAAAGTGTTTACTGTCACAGTAAGATAATATTTTTAATACTAGTTTCTTACAATTCTAGGCAAACTTACAATATTTGACAAACTGACTAGATGGTACCTCCTGTAGAACACCTACTTTAAAAATGTTATTCACAACTTAAATTCTTCCTGCGTGCAAATTTGGTATATAAACAAATATCTACACAGCCGTATTTGTACTTTAACTGTGAAAAATACATTTCCTTAGATGATTTATACACAGTATTTCCAAGTGTCGAGGCATCCTGAAAAAGAGTAGTTTCTCACTAACTCATTTTGTGCTGCACCCAAGACAGAAAACTGCATATAAATCATCCATTCTTCATGATCATTAAATATGGCAACTATAGGTGGCAGAGTGTTTGATCTTTTTAGAAAAAATGTTTGTTCTTTAATAGTAAAGCCAAATACATCAGTCAATGAACAGGCTCACTCTAGATTTTAAAAAGCAGTTTCATAAATTACAAAATTTCCATTGTTTTTTAATTTTACAACCATATATAAAGTAGCTGTGCTTACACATAAACACATGAAAGCAACATGTATCATTTTAACCATGGATATTGAGTTATCATCAGTATGTCTGGGGATTTCTGTACAATAGTCATAATTTTATTTTGTGAGACCCCTTTATACAATATAAAACTTTATGCAATGTATTTTAAACTATTAAATTATTCACTGCAATTTACAAATTTAAGTTCAGCCAAAGATAGCGTCTTCTTAACAAATGCAACACACGTAAAAAGTATCAAAACAGTTTCTTCACTACACTCCACTTTTAATATTAAACACAACATTTCTTGAAATACTCTCCATTTCTACCAAAAAATGTAGAATCATTGCGGGTAACAAGGATGGGAGTTATTAAATAAAAAAAGGGTACTAGATAGCTGCATACACTAAGGTCTCAATTTGCAAATCATTAATCACAAGTGGTATTTTACATCAGTCACTCATGTAAGTAAGGGCTATTTACAAGATTAACCGTTTGCAGGAACTGGTTTTAAATACACTTAAGGAAGAATTAAAAACGTAGCAAACAGCTGTGGCAATTCTAGCATCAAGGAAACTATGGTTATTGACACCAACAGCAATCCTTTTTAATATTAAAAACCTAATTTTTTGTGTAGTTGTACAATTAACATCACAACACTGTCACAGACGAGACATAAGAACAATATTCCTTAACCAGAGACAACAGAATGCTGAGGAGTATTTCATTAAAGCAAAAAATGTGAAATGTTAATAAATATCACATAAAACCCTTCTATTTTTTAAAATTGCTTTTAATTTTTAAAAGTATTTACATTCTTAGGAAAAGGCATGTAACTGGTTGCAGTCTCCTTACATTACCACTTTGAATTTTCTGAATGAAATTTTTTAGAGTTATTGCACAACAGAAGGGAAGGTGGGCAAAACCTTTTAACGTAGTTTGAACTTTCCCCTAAATGTCACACTACTTCAGTGATCATGCATGCAAAATTGTGAAGCAGAAAAATGATGATCTAAAATTTTGTGGAAAAAAATTGTTGGAATGGAAATGTTTTGTACCCTGAATAATAATGGGCAAAAACATAACTTATCCATTTTACTTGAATAAAATATTATTCCCATTGGGTGGATATCTTGAAATTTGGAATCTTCCATTACATGGCATAATGAGGGGAAAGAAATAGGGATTTAAATTTATGCCTTGATCTTTTTCCTTTCCAACAGGAAATACCAAAACAGTCATGAGATTTCAATTATTTAAGTGCCTTTTATACATATACACATGCTGCCCACTAATCCCTCGTGCAAATCTGTCAGCAGCTTCATACAGCCACCATTTCAAAACAGTCCATTTTTAAATAGCTCATGACAGCTGTTCTATTTCTAGGATGGCACTGAGACAATTTACAGCATGAGAGTGACTATATATCCAGTGAAGACAGGAAAATTAAAGTTCCTGACAGACCCAGAATCTTTGCTATTAAACAACGAAATGTTAAGAGCAGGGGCCAGCCTGCAAAAAAGTTGGATCCAGCTGAGGAAAGTCTGACCTAGCTCAGGGAGAAGAGACTGTGGCATGCAACTGCACCGTTCCTTCTGTTCCCTCTGCAACACCCTCCTCCATAGCCCTCCCTGCTGCTTTCTCATGCCTGTGTTTACCCTTCTGCAGAGGAACCTGGTCACAATCTCTGACCCACAGCAGGAAGATGTTGCCAACTCCTATCTATAGACACTTTATAATGAACTAAACAGAAATCCATGCTTTTAATCGTTTCATGCATTGACAAATATTAAAGAAGCCCATTTAAAATAAGCTCATTAAAGTAAGACCTGAAGAATGGACTGCATTCAAAACCTTGTCTAAGTCCATCCCAACCATGCAGTTAGTTCAATAAAAGATCACTCACAAAAACCCCTGCCTCTTGCAAAATAAGCCAGGCAATTTTTCATATGTCTAAATACAATGTTGCTTTTTTGTTACCTCTGAAGCCGCCGTACAAGTTGTGATACCATCGTATCTGAAATGCCTGGACAAGCTTCCTCAGCTAAATAAATAGCTTCTCTCAGTTTTTCTATGGATCCCATGTTGCCACCACATGCCTGACTTTTCTCTTTCAACTAAAATGGCAAAATACATTCATTAGTAAGAAAAATACTTGCATATATAATAATGCAAATATTTGTTACAGTTACAGATCTGGTAAACAACCATTATGCAACAGGAAGTAAAATAATCTCTAGACTTCACCATTAGCATTCTTTTCAGCTATTTAGATTTAAAAAAAACCTATTAATGAATGTGTTGCAAATAGTTTAAATAGCAGCAATGCCACATTTGCAATTTTATCAAAAGTCATTACACTTATTCATTTAACAGCAAAATGGGATCCGATCCCTGATCCCAACATCTGCACCTCCTGGCACAAGTGTATAGTAGGGCACATGATTTGGGGTTTTGGAGATCAATGCCCACCATTTACTACTTGCCAGTGCAGGGGGAGCCTGGGATTTTGATTTGCACTGGGAAATTGAAAGCCGGGTATCTGCAGCTGGCATGAATGGTACAGTCCCAGAGCTGGGGCCAACAATCAGCTGACTGTCAGTCCCAGCATGGAATAGCACTAGAGCCAGTTTGAGATCCTGATGCAGTCCCAGGGCTGGGACTGACTATCAGCCACATAAGAACTGGGTGCCGTTGTCCAGAGTCTGGTTGTACATCTGATCCAGATCCCCAGTCCCTGGGAATCAAGCCTTCATTAAGCCTTCACATTGCCCCCAGACTGCTGTTCCCCATGTTGGAAACCTGTTTTATGAACTGCTTGCTCCGGTGAGAATCCCTGGTGCAGTTTCCACTACCCCAATGCCAAGACCAGCCCAGCTACACTGCTCTGCTCTCTCATAGCCAACACAACTTATGCCCCCCGCCACTAACAGACCTACACTCTAACCTCTGGCCCTTACACCTATAACTCAGGCAGGAGCTGCCTCTGGGAGCTGCCTTCAAGTGCATGGCCTCACCCCTACCACATGTCCTCTCTCTCACTGGTGGCTGTCGATGCCCCTTAAACTGTTCTTGACTTGGTGTCCAGGAATGGCTTCAACAAAAATAGAGGTGCACCAATACATCGGTCCGACATCGGATCGGCACTGATATAAAGAAAATTGATTGTATCAAAAAACTGACCTGATGTGGCCAATAATTTAGCCGATAAATGCCCATGCATGCGCACAGCCACAGTGCAGCATGTAGGCAGCAAGGAGCACAGCCTGGCAGCTTGGAGACCTGCACTCCATTGGTAATTCTGGTGTAATGGATGAGGAGGGGGAAGGGAAGGAGCATGGGGGGCAGATCAACGTGCTGAGTGCTGCCCAGCCAGGGTGGGGGACAGAGCCACAGCTCGTCTGGGGGGCATGGGGAGGGGGGTGGTGGCTCCCGCTACTGCGTGCACCCTGGGAGGGCACGGGGCAGTGTGTGCCCCTGGACCTTTGTGCGGGGGGGGAGGAAATGCCACTGCAGGCTGGGGCTGTGCTCAGGGCAGGCGGTGGCAGCGGCACTGGGAGGAGACTAAACCAGAATTTGGGTTGGCTGCAGCCCCCACCCCCATGTAAGCCTCCTCTCAGCACCACTGCCGCCCGCCCCAAGTGCAGCTCCCACGCGCTGGGAAGAGCCAGGCCCCAAGCCTGCAGGGGCAGCTCGCCCCAGCCCCACCTTCCCTCCCCACGGTGCCCTCCAGGGGTGCACAAAGCAGCAGGGGCCCTACCCGCTTCCCACGACTCCCAGATGAACCGTGGCTCCATCCCGCACCCTCCCCTGGCTGGGCAGTGCCGACCCCAGCCCCAAACCCACTTCCTCCTTGGCCACAGAGGCCTTGATCTGCCCCCCCCTACACCCCTTCCCTCCCCCCTCCCCATCTACCACAACAGACCTACCAGCTGCACGCAGCTGTATTGGAAATTAGATCAGTATCAGCCAATATGCTTCCTTAAAAATTGGCTATTGGTATCAGTCCCCAAAATCTCTATCAGTGCACCTCTAAACAAAAGGTAGCAAGGGGGAAGAGTTGCAAGAATCCTGAAACAGAGGCATGGAGGATTACAGAAGGTGTCTGTTAACAGCAATATGGACAGTGAAATGTCCTTCACTCACAGAAGTACATGATCCCCTTACTAAATTCAGTCCTAATAACATCATTTCCGTTAGGAAATAAAATGCTGGATGGCAGGTTGACTCCACACTGAGTCCAAATGGCCTGATGAGCAGAGACCACTGTGCTATACTGCATCTGATAGGCAAGCTTGTCCTGCCGTACTATGCTTAATAACCCTGCTGTGTGGCATGGAAAACTCTTAGGATCTTCCTCAGGAACAGAACTCCTTTTCGTAGAGCAATACTCTTGTAACACCCACACAGGCAATACAGCAGCAAAGTCCAAAAGGATTGTTTAGAAGAAAATATGGTCCCTATATTATGGCAAAGACAGGGTGGGAAGAGCATGCTTTAATATGAGCACAGTTCTACAAGCTTATTTAAAAGAAATGTCTCTACATACCACCGTGTCTTGCCTTCTAATATACTTAAAACAACAAATAAATATTCTATGGAATATTTGCAAAATTCTATAAATGTTTGCCACATTCCAGTACAAATCTAGAATTTTTCCCTCTCTAAAAGTGAACCTTAAAGGATTAAAAACTGCTAACATCTGGTGGCCTGGTCAATCTAGCCTAAGTTGAGAAGACTGAGAAGCCTGAATCCAGGTTGGGCAAAACAGCCCAACAACAGGAAAGACTGAACACTGCACCCCTTACACACTCCTCTCTTTATTACTTTAACTGTTCCTTAACTGTCTCTCCTTGTTATCTTTTTCATGCAGTGACTTTGGGGAAGCAAGCACTATTGTAAGCAAAAAAACAAACTGAAAAAATAAAAGGTACCAATAAACCTGAATGCTGTGGCTGGACCATAAGGAAAATTAACCCATTTGTTTCAGACTGGTTATAGCAGTGGGGGCCAACCTTCGTCAGGTTTGCCACAAATTAAACCCCACTCCCTCTAAATGCCACTCTGATCTCCTTGCCCTATACAATGTACTACTCTGCCTTCTGTTCCCCATGTAATCTACTGCTCCTTTCTGCTTCCTGCTCTGTGCTCCTCACATGATATACTGCTCTTCTTTCTGTCCTTTCTGCCACTGCTATCTGTCCCCTCCCCCATTTGCCACAGAGGCTGCCTGTGTCACTTGTGGCAGATGTGCTCCAGGTTGACTTTGGTTATATACTTATGTACTTTTTTATTACTATCATTCCTCTGAGTATCATCATCATTCCTCTGAGCCAAAATGATTTTACAAATAATTACATTCTCAGAATATTATCTTACCTCTTTAAATAAAGGAGATATAATTGTAGATAAGCACTGAGACAAAGGCCGCTTTGGAATATTTTTTTCCTTTAGGTGGTGGAAAGGGAAAAAAACATGAAGAATCAGTAACATGACTGCAATTAAACACAGGCAATTCACATTGCAGTTTCAAGCAATCCCAATATCCTCAGTACTTGCAATTGTTGCTCAACATAAATTATTTGCTCTAATCGACTTGATAAAAACAAAAACACCATTATGTACATGTGCAAACAAATACAAAGAGCTAAAATAGTTAGGGCAAGATTTGCTGAGGAAGAGCTATCCATCTTTGGTGTAGCTAGGAAGCACATGCTGCAGTGGCAGTCCCGCCCCACAAATCCCCCCACTGTACAGGCTGGGCTAGTGGCACACAGCCACCCACAGCTTCTGCCACGTGGGTAGCTGTGACAGCAGAACACAGCCCTCAGCCCCACACCATGCAAGCACGTGAACCCCTGGGCTCTCCCCTTTCCACACAACAACACAGGAAGAGGCCATCAGGGCCTGCAAGCTGCATGCCAGCCCTTCGCAGGCCTCCAGTTAGACAGCCATGCACTAAGGAGTGTGCACTTTATGTTCCCATACCTAAAAGTTAAGCGTCCCGCTTTGAAAGCAGGTTGCTCAAACCAGACAATTCAAGCACCTGAGTTCCCTATTACTTTACATGGGAACAGTTAGGCACTACGATGCAAGCAAATGGACAACTAAGCTGGCCAACAGAAAGTGCTGGAGACAGTGGTACGCCTGGAATTCCACTCTCCTCCAGGCTTAGGCAGCTAGCTTCAGTCCTAAATTGGGTGCCTATGTGACACTGAGATTCACCATACAAAACCTGCACTTGGGCTTAAGTGCCAAAGTAACCCCTTTCAGTACAGATAACTGTCTAACATTAACAAAAAAAACCAAACACTCTCTCTCTCTCTCCCCTCCCTCCATGTGTGAATGCTCTATGAATACTCTAACTGATACTGGTTACAGCATTCACCCATGAAGTGGAAATATGGTTTCTATGCCCTCTTCACACAGAAGATGTTCAAATCAACAATTCCTATGTTTCATAAGAGTGCTCTAACCATAGATGGAGAGACTGCACTGGGTTGCTGAAGCTAGGCCCTATGCAAAAAGGACTGCAAGCTCCACAATGTCAGAGACAAACAAAGCAAGAGGGAGTAAAAGTGTAGCCAAGAGAAAAAGGGAATCCTGGAATCTGGTTCTAACACACTAAGCATTTTTCATTATTCACTGGATAAAATGAATTCTGGAGTACAGAAGAAAACTTAAGTTCTTTTTTGAACATCATGCTTAGCTTTTATTGTTTAAATAATGAATAATGTTATTAGATCAGTTGTTTTGCAATTGTCCATATTTACAAAACCAATGTGGTTTGAAGTATGTTCTCTGTGAATAATTCAGTTAATACAATTGTCTTGAGAATGATAAAAAGTACATTATGAAAAAAGGTTTTCTGGAGAACGTACAGTAAAGCTGAATAAACCACTCCATATTTTCTTGGCAGGTGCAAAGTTTGTAAGTGGAGAGTTACTGATAGTACAGTTGTTATGAAAAAAATCTAATGCTTATTTATAGAAAAAAAATCAAACCAAAACTAAAACACTAATACAGAGCAAAAAATATGCTGGACATTGGGCAATACAGTGTTTAGATGTATATCTTTCTACGTACACTTAATATCAAACATTAATAAATTACCTTATTTTTTTCTAGCTCTTGTGGCTGGGCTGCTCCATTCTCCAGACTCTTAGGATCCTTTTCTCTAATTGTAAAAATCCAGTCCCCTGAATCACCGCTGCCTGAGGCCTGGCCATCTGTTTCACTTTAAAAATAAACAAACAAAAACCCCGAAAAACAGAGAATTTTCAGAAACTGACTCTTATTGACTTACTCTGCCAGACAAATCATAAAACCTCCACGTGAGAGCAAAGTTCAGATAGGCTACTCCTCAGGCCAGTGAACTGAGATTAACATCTGTCACATTTGTTCTCTCTCCTCCTTCCCCAGGGAGAGAAAAGCATGTAGCCAACCGTCCTGTTTGAGTACAGTATATTTATTAATATACACAGCTATGTATTTACATTACAGAAGGGAGTGACACAACAAAGAAGTGATTATTGCACTTAGAGTGGGAAATGGTGAGCTCTGCACTGACTGTAAAACAATAGGGAAGCTGAAACAGAAGAAACTTCCCAAGTCACTGAGTCCAGTTCCCTGTATTTACAGGCGATCATGTGTTCAAGGAGATGCCCACTCTGTCACCTCCATTTCTCCCAATACACACAAGACAGACAGAATTACTGATTAAAAAAAAAAGTTGCATTGTGCCACAGAAAGAAAGCAGGACAGACAAAGGGGCCACTTAAATGCTTAGGTCACTAAAAAGGCGGGGAATATGTTAGGTAAAATATGCTCAGATGACCCCAGAGAGTAGACCACATATTACATTATAGGAGGAAGGCAAAAATCCCAGTGGTCCTTGCTAATCTGGTGTGGGCAAAGATTCCTTTCTGACACCAAATCCAGGCCCCTGAGAGGTTTCTCAGTATCATTTGGGAGTACCAGTACACCCAGGCCAATTTCCCACATCTAGCTACAAAGATGTTCAAGGCTTCGGAGGAAGCTCAAGGGGGAAAACCCCCAAAGAAACTAAATAATGAATTCAAGGTAATGAAAAATCAATTCTGTCTGGCCCCAACAGTAGGCCTGTGTGAAGCAGCTACTATTTTGCTTCGGATTCAGCTGATTTGAGGGACAGTGATTCGATTTGGTGATTCAAATCACTGTCCAGAATTGATTCGGCTGAATCTGATTTGGAGAGTCAGCCGCTGCCGAATCGGACGAATCTCTGAATTAAACAGGTGACATGAATACAGTAGTCACTGTGATAGGGCAACTTGATTTCCAAATTAACAGGGCATGGTTTTTTGTTTGTTTGTTTTTGTTTTTTTAAGAACCAGGAGCTGGGGCTGGGCAGGGCAGCTATCCACAAGGATGGGAGAGCGGGCGGGGGATGGGGGCTTGTGGAAGAGCCACCCCCCATGCAGCACAGGGCAGTGGGCATCACCCCCCCCCCCCCCCGCGCGGCCGCCCTTCAGGCCGGGGGGGGGTTTTGGCGGCAGCCATTGAGTGCAGGGGGGTTTTTCAGAGAGCTTCAAATTGATTTGGACCTTTTTATTGGTCTCCAGATTTGATTCCGATTCAGAGATTTGGCCGCCTTTGAAGCATGAAATTAAAAGTCACCTCCCACAAACAAGCAACCTGCAGAGAGATCAAGTCTACTTTTAACTTCCTGGTGGGATACCAAACACATGAAGCCAGATATCACAAGCTCCAATACTCCAAAACCACCCTGAAGCAACAGAAAGAAAACTAATATTTGTTAGTCACCAGAAGCAAGGGTTCTTGTCCCGAAAGCACTATTTTCTGTCACTATTTATGGCATGCATCCCTCTAAGAAAGGCTGATTTTGAAGGGGGGAAGCGTGCGAGTATGCTTGTAAATAAGGAAATTGCATGCATCCAAGATTCAAATTATTTTGAGCATTAACCAAAACTCCTATCACTTTTCTTGTGTGAAATGAGCAACATTTTATGCTTGACAGGATTAAATACTTCAGAGAGGTCTAAGAGAATGCAAATAGATAAATTGTCTTGTGTTATTTTATATACAAAGATCAGTTCCACTACAGTGGTTTCAACTCCACATGCCAGGCTAAATCTAGGCTGTTCTGTTTTTAGAGGATTAGTTTCTGTTAGATGAATTTGTAGCCGTCTTTTAGTTGATTTCTCTATGAGTTTATTCAGGAATAGGAAGTTTAAAAAAGTGGACATTATTTGGCTAGAATCCACGTGTTCCAGGTAAATTACTTAACTTTTGGTCAGATTATTTTGGATTTGAAAGAGGAACAATAGATTCTGTCTATAAAACTGTTTAGTCAGAGTGGCATCAGTCAGTGATTAGGAAGGAATCAAGATCAGGAAAGTCCAGGATCAGATTCACAAGTCTGGGTTCAATATGGTACCCAAAACTTCTTGAAAAGAACTGTAAAAATTCTTTTAAACACTCCAAGCATTGCATCCTATCATTTAACCAGGTATACTGTGAATGGGATTTACCAAGAACTGTTCATCACTGGGAGTTTTACTATAAACAACAGTTGGACCTGGCGAGGTCTGCTGAGACCCAACGAGGCCTACAATAAGTATTCTTAGAAATTGCATTCTGTGTATTGAGTACAAGATGACAGCAAAGAAAGCTAGATATTTAAAACTGAATAAACTGAATATTTGAAGCATATATAAATGTGTTACAGAAACTAACTGCAAAATGCAAAATGGCTGCCCACATTGCTTCTGTGACAAAGTCGAAAACTACACAACAGCAGGGAACACTAATGGTGTTACTGTTGAATGCACCCATGGTCTCGTCCTGGAGGCAAAAAGTGACAGAAATGGAAGGAAACAAGACCAAGAAATCCGTGGTCTAAACATCCTTTTATAATCGGTGAAGATCTATGACTGGGTGGAGAAGTACAAAAACAGCTGCACATCCACAGTGGATGAACTCTCGGCAGAGTGCCCAAACACAACCCCAATAGATGACAACATTGTTAATCAAGGTCATGGCTGCTGTGTGAACAGATGAATGTGCATTTCTGAACTAATGAAGGAAGTGGGCATAAGCACTACCTGTATCTACATTAATCGTGCGTGATCACCAGAAAGTGAGCGCCAAAGCAACTGAAAGACTTGGATAAACAACAACAAAAGTGCACACCTAGCTTCTGCAATATGTACAGAAAAAAGGTGATGGGTTCCCTCTCGCACTGTCACCAAGACCTGGGTCCACCACTATGATCCCAAAAGCAAAAGGCAGAGCACACAGTGGAACTATGTATTGTCACCACTGCTCAAGAAATTCCACGCCCAGCTATCCTCTGGTAGTCTTACTCATCCTATTTTGGAATTACATGAGACCACTCCTTGTCCTTTTCCTGGAGCACAGGGTCATGACCAACAGAAATGCTTACTGCCATGTTCTCCAAAACCACCTGAAGCCAGACGAAGTGTCAGAGAAAGCTCAACCAAGGTGTTCCTCTCCACCATGACAATGCAAGGCTTTGCACAGACTGGACTTTGAAATCTTACTACATTCACCTTACAGTCCCAATCTTGTGCTAAGTGATTATCAGAGCCTTGAAGAAGGCTCTCTGGGTGTGGATCTCTGCATCACTGGCAAATCTAAGTCATGGTGCTGAAGTGGCTGGCACAACCAGAAAGCTTCTTGGCAGATGCTCTCAAGAAAATTGTGACTCGCTGGAATACCTGTGCTGCAAAGCAAAGTCGCTATGTAGAGAAGTAATGTGGCCGAGTAAATGATCATTGCAAAAAAAATGAGAGGCAAAAGGTCAGGTAGGGAACAGAGAACAACTGAACTAGGAGGCAGGGGGCATGATTAGGACTTGCAGGGCCAAAAAAATGGAAAAGAAACCAAGGAAGTCAAGACTGAGATAAAGAACCAGAAATGGAGCAAAGACAAGGTTGAAGGCAATCAGGCAGAAGAGGCTGAAGTGATGAGTAAAAAGACCAGAAGGGTCTATACCCACTAAAGCAAAGATTTCACGATTTCGTAATTCTTACTGTCAGCAAATATCAGTGAAACCCACTGGCAAAGTGTCCCATCCTCCTTTCATGAAGGCTGACGCGCTATTACTACTTTAAGTTGCTCTGTCCGTGACTGGGATCCAAGTGGTCCAAGCGACTGGGATCTATAGAGGCTCCAAATCTCCTGATTACCACACACACAAAGCTACCTTAAGGAATACTGAGTTGCCTGTACAACCCTTAATTGCACCCTTTTGGACATATGCATTATGACAGTATCATTACAGAACATATTCTACTAGACATGCACCTTTAGAGATTTTTTGGGCCAATACCGATGGCCAATTTTTAGCGAGCCATATTGGCTGATACCAATCCGATTCCAATATTAAGCCGGGCAGCTTGGAGAGTGGTGTCTGGCTGGTAAGTCTGTTGTAAGGGAAGGAAGAGAGAAGGGGTGCGTGTTGGGGGCTGGGGGGGGCCCCTGCTCCCACTACTATGCGCTCCCCAGGAGGGCATGGGGGGGTGTGACCCCAATCTGCGCGCAAGGCGAGCGTGGGCTGTTGCTGCGGGCTGGCACCAGAGCTGGTGTTAGGCTCTTCCTGGCAGGGGACTGGGCCAGCCTACTCACGGCAGGTGGGGGTAGCACTGGGAGGGAGGTTATGGGCGGGGGATGGGAGTTGCAGCCACCCCAAAGTTCTCCATAGGCCTCACAACCCCCCTCCCAGTGCTGCCGCCCACCCCAAGCAGAGCCCCACTGCAACACCC